CACCTCATTTTCCAGCGATTCTCAAACGATTCGTTCGAAGCAGTTCAAAGATTCCTTTCCGTGAGCCTGCTCTGCTCTGATTGGTCAGATGGCCTAGTCTGTTGTGATTGGTCTACGGCGTACAGCACATGTGGGAAACGATACGCCTATTTCATGCTTTATCAAATAATTGTGCATGTAAGAATGCTCATAATCACATATTTACAATTATGCTATTCAGGAAACCCATCTTCTCCCTCCTCTCCACCCCTCTTCTTATTCAATGGAACAGGCTATTGAAATTGTCCAGTCTCGGAACGGCAGCGCCATTCTCCCAGCAGAGGGGAGGCCACAGTCAGGAGGAAGTAGCAGAGGGTGCAGCAGAGGGCATAATTCGCCCTTAATATCCACGTACCCGACTCTTACAGATGAGGAGGAAGAAGATTCTGTGAGCCCTACGGATTCAGGAGTCCACAGAGGTTTAATGGAGCCTGACGGTTATGAAAACGGCGGCAGCGAGACGGCGAGTTCTCAGATATCTGAGGCGCTATCCAGTCATTTTGAGCGCACTAACGGCACACTGCGGCCCAAGTCGAAACCCAATAACATCCTGCTCCCGGCCCACACAACACTTTTCCTTCCACCACATAGCCCAACTATCCACAAAGCTCAGATCGTTTAGAGGGTTTGTTTGGAAACGTCTTTATCGCAAGACAAAGTCATCACAAAGCCACATAAACACAGTTGATATTACAACAGAAGGATGTGTTCCTCTGTAATTTCGCTCTCCAAAAGGCTGTGTCTGGACAACTAACCTGAAAATAGATCTTTTGGTTGAACTTCTATATGAATACTTTCTCAAGGTGGCAAAACATGGACAGAATGGCCATCATCTACACTAAAACCTGCTAAACAATACCAGCATTACTCAAACAGTTCCTCAAATAATTGCATAATCCACTGTGTATTCTGGAACTGGGACGCTTGAGTATTATGGGTCACAACATGTGTTTCAGGTACAGATTAACTGGAATCCGCCAGAGTTGAGCTCCTCTGTGTGACCAGGGAATGGAATTAAGATCTTTTTTTATTATTATTATTGCAACCTAAGGCTTCACTTGAATTACTGTTGATGGAGAAAATACTACATGAACTCTTTTCTGGCGAGTTAATCCTTCACTGTGACTTTTTGATCTTGATGTCTGTAATCCAGAGGTGTACAAATGGTGTTTAGACATATTCTTTGAATATATGTGTGTATTATGTATTTTGACTGGAAACTACCCACTGCATGAATAGTATTATGAAGTATGGCATTACCATGTTATGAAAACGGCTCCTGCGTGTTCACAGAATGTCATTGTCGTTGTTTACAACATTTATCAGAATTAGCTTTATTCGCCAGGTGTGCGCAAACACACGAGAAGATTTATACTTCATTATGTACTAGTAAATGTATTTAGTTTTAATAAGCGGGTAGTATTACCGCAAGCTCCTGAGATACTCCTGTGATCTTTCTATCTTACAAAATATAAAGCCATGGGTCCTGATGGTAACTTTGGTGTATTTAATTCACTGCAGTGTATGGGGGTTATTAAATCATCCCTAACAACTGCGTGTATGCATGTTAGATTAATATCAAAAAACGCAATGTTGAATCGGGACATTGTTCAGTGCTTTTCAGCCTAAATTTGAACAGCACAATCTGAGGTGTGATAAGAAACTTTTTTTTTTTTTTTTTTTACCGTATTAACCATAATTAACACCAAATTGCTGCAATAAAACTGTGAGTACTTTGGTATTAGCCACCACTGAGAGAGAGAGAGAGAGAGAATGAATGGAAAATTATAATAATTTGTTATGTTTCCCATTCCTAATATTAACAATAAGTTCAATAACAATTGTATAAACTGGTATTTTAGTGTAAGCTATTACCTTGGTACCCAGTGCTTGGCTGTTAGTGCAGGAAACATATATTTATGAATAATTTTAGGAACGTTTGTTTTGACTTTTATTTTGAATTTAAACCTGCTTTTCAGTCGCAGGTCTTTTTACTCCACTGTCATTCTGCATAGAATTGCATTGCAGTTAAAGTTATCAAATTTACTAAAACTGGCTCTAAATGTGGAAGAAGATGAAACAGGTGATACCTTGCAAATGGCAATTATATTTTTGCCAGCAGGTTTCCTCACAAAAAGAAAAAAAAATATATGAAATGTTTTATTAAATAGTGCTTTAAATTAATATCTTTTTGCAAGTGGAGAACATGCGCTAGACACAGGCTTTAATTAACTCTAGGCTAGTAGTACATCGTTCACTGTTTTAAATAATGCAATTTTGAGTAGTCACAAAGAGCCCGGAACGGGACTTTTATTTCGTCAGAAGGCGTTTCGCCGTCCATTGTGTTGTTGACTGCTCACCATAGCGAGCTTCACACATCGCTGCTTTTAATTCTAGGCACATTCGCTGAGGAATTTACCACCCATCATCTTTTCTCCTTCACTGGTGTCGACGCTCTTCCTGATTTATTTTAACTTCCTTAACTACAGTTTTGTTCAAAAGCTTTGTATATCTTTTGAAATATACAATTGTGCATTTGTTTTCCCTGATAATATGGATTAATTTGTCGATGCCTGCTAAAATTGCCTGGACACATTTGTTCCACCTGACCATGCAGAATATCCCGGCGATAACGACACACTGCAAGGATTAGTGTAGTTTCTAAAGATCACTGCATTTTTATAGATCATATTTACCGGAATCGCTTTATTCATTTTAGCAGGTTTTTCTAAGAAAAGGAACAGGGAAGAAAGGAAAGAAGGAAACCCTCAAGCAGAGGTACAGTGGACTGAATGAATGTAACAGCTCATATGTCATTCATGTCATTTTTGCAGTTACATTTACAGAATGTGTTTTGTCTTCCGCATTTATGCGCTCACGGCCCTTGATTTAATTTAATTATTGAACAATACTATATATAAATCTAGTATAAAACACGTACATGTAATCTTTGTATTCATATTGGTTACGTGGTTACACTACAAAAATATAAAATAAAATAAAAAGTTTATACAATTTTCTACAATTATGCTACAATTATACAATTTAATGAAAGTGTGACCACTGACATTAAATTAAATTCCTGCGTTTTTTTTTTTTTAGATTCCTGCATATTGGTTACCACGTTGATTCTTGACAAACAATCCCCCCCTCCCCCAATAATAATAGTTTAAAACCATAGCTTATAATAATAAAACTACTTATGCAACTTTTAAAAGAAATACTTTTTAAAATTCCACCATGATTTTGTAATTCAGAATTTAAAATCATAATAGAAATGTGTTTTCATTTTAGTATGAATTGCTTTTTCAATGTATTTTTGAATAACTTAATTGATCCAGAGAAAAATAGTGTAATGTCACTGACCCATGTAAAAGAATAAAGAAGATTGCAGGATTTGCAGTGGTTGCAGTTGTCCAATGAAAACTCGCTCCTAGAAAGCACCTTTAGACCACAGTTCACATGTCACAGCTTTAGGATGAACAAAGTTGTAAGCTATTTATATTGGGATGTTTACGGTTCGTTTTACTGTTTGGCATGGCTTTATTGATTATAGTTTTATCACATTAAAGAAAAAAGGGAGGGTTGAGTTGTCCAAAATCCATTACACATTTACATTCTAATGAAATCTATTGACTCTATATTTGGAGTCCAAATATATAGTCAATAGATTTCATTAGAATGTAAATGTGTAATGGAAGGTAATGGTTTGTGGTTTCTGACTTGAGCTGTGTCATGTTCATCCCTGCGCAGTCACAGACACGTGAGAGCTGCAGCTTTCTAGAGTTTCATTGGACAAGAGGGGCTCTCACTTTTACCTCAATACTTAAGCCTATCTGACCTAATAGCCTAGTGGTCAATAGAACTGAAATATAAGATAATATCACATATTTTATACACCATATTATTGCCAGCATTTTTGAGATTATTGCCAAAAATAAACCAAGGTTTATATAATTAATTGGAATAATATTTTTATTTTCATGTTTTTGAAAGAAGTCTCTTATGCTCACCAAATAAAAAAAAAACAGCATTATTTGAAATAGAAATATTTGTACATTTGTACGGAATCTTTTGCATTTTTTGCCGTTACTGGTATTATCCTATTTAAATCTTGTTCAAAAGCCTATAATAACCTTTAAATCTAGTGTGACAACATGCTCCACTTCTGGGTCACAAAATGACAACTTGTGTTCAATGAACTGTATTTTTTTGTCGGACAATAATTATGGTATTTTTAATAGCTGCACAGAACATTTAAAAATAAATGTGAGTATAACATAAATTTCAGCTTGCTGGGAGGTATTCTAGGTATTCATAAGTGATTTAAGAAATTTATGATTGAAGTCTGAAAATTTCCCATTGACGCATTGATGTCAATGCAATATTTGCATACTGAATTGTGATTGGTCTTTTTTTCTTGCATGTATTTGCATACCAGATTGCAATTGGGTTTTTGCTCTCTTATTGTCACTATGTCCATTTAAACTTGATGTCTATGTTATTTTATGATTTGTTAACACAATTTATTTGCTCTGTTATACTCATATAATGATATTTCATGATTCATTTATTTATTAATGACATCTACTAACTGTATATACCACTATTCTTCCCACAGCCATGTCCTTCAGGAGGGGTGTTGTCAGGCAGAGTAAGTTCAGGCATGTGTTTGCCCAGGCTTGGAAGGCTGAGCATTGCCTTGATGATGTCAGAGTATCACGCGTGACATGGGACGGTCCACTGTGCGCTGCCAATCCGAAGTTCATTGCTGTTGTCATTGAGGCCGGAGGAGGCGGAGCCTTTCTTGTGCTACCGCTGGCCAAGGTTGGCGTGCATTCAATAACAATAGCAATAACAATGCCTTAAATATGCCCTAAGGATTTATAGTTGGCATTTTACATCATTTGCATAATCAAACTGGTTCTGCTCACATAGTTTCTGTGTCTCTTACCACTAGAGCGGTCGAGTGGACCAGAACACCCCGACCGTGTGCGGTCATGCCGCTCCAGTGCTGGATGTGCAGTGGTGCCCACATGATGACAATGTTATTGCCAGTGCCTCAGAGGACTGCACTGTCAAAGTTTGTTTCATTCCCTTTAACAAAACATACACGTCAGTTACTGTCATATAACTATTTATTGCATTAATATAGCATCACTGGGGCTTCACATGGTGCATAATGTTAGTTTTGTTGAATGTGCGTGTTTTAGCAGTTGGGTAGGCCTAAATATCACAATTTCCACAAGAAATATGAAGCAGCCCAACTGTTTTCAACATTGATAATAATAGGAAATGTTTCTTGAGCACCAAATCAGCATATTAGAATGATTTCTGAAGGATCCTGTGACACTGAAGATTAACTCGTGTATCTAAAAAGACATGTGCCGTATTTTTGCATAACAGATTTGGCAGATTCCTGACGGAGGTCTTACATCTCCCATGTCTGAAGCTGTTGTGACTCTTGAGGGCCACAGTAAAAGAGTGGGCATCCTGGCCTGGCACCCTTCTGCTCTCAATATCCTGTTGACTGCAGGTAAGCTCTTCCTTTGTGTATATACTTTGCCGGCTCACAGTGCTTGGATTAAGTCTGTTCTGGCACACTCTATTTTTGGCGCGTGCTCTAATTCTGGTGACTTAAATCGTTTATCAAGCCCTAAGTTTGGATGTTGGACTTGTTTGATGGCTTTGTGCACCTTCAAAGTAATGAAAAGACAATAGAGCTGTCAATCGATTAAAAATAAATAAGCTGATCTCAGATGTCTACACACCTACATGTAAAGAAGTAACATAAATAAATCTCTGATCTAAAACTGAACCGTTTGATGCAAAGATTGATTTAAAGGCTTGTGCACGACCAGACAAAGGAAGGTGGCTTTGGATTGATTTGCATTGGCATGTAAATATCTGAGATGCAAATCTTAGCTCTTAAACTGGCAAAATGTTTTTTTTGCTGACCTTTTGACCATCTTTGATCTTGCTTGCCCATGTTCTAGGATGTGATAATGTCCTGTGTGTGTGGGATGTGGGCACCGGGGAGGTGGTGTACCAGCTGAGTGATGTCCATCCAGACCTGATATACAGCGTGAGCTGGAACCGTGAGGGCAGCGTCCTGTGCACCACCTGTAAAGACAAAGCCTTACGAGTCATTGATCCCCGGCGTGGAACAGTTCTTAAGGTCAGCCGGTTAGTTTCTGAATCCTTAAGTTTCTGTATCAGGGTTTCCCAACCGGGGCTTTGTGAAGAAATACACAGACCGATACAGTACCATTCACAAGTTTGGCGTTAGATTTTCAAAATATTTCGGAAAAAGGTCTCTCATGCTCACCAAGGCTGTATTTATTTGATTTATTTAAAAAAATGCAGTTAAAGCTGTAATACTATGAAATATTATTTCTATTTAAAAGAACTGTTTTCTATTGTAATATATTTTAAAATGTAATTTATTCCTGTGATGTGAAGATGAATTTTCAGCATCATTACTCCAGTCTTCAGTGTCACATGATCCTTCAGAAATCATTCTAGATACAGCAGATTTTAGTGTAGTAGTTTGAATATTCCTTAGGCCAAGATGATACAGGTGTACAATGTAAACATGGACATTAAGTGCACCTGAGGACTAACAGGATTATTCTAAGAATGTTTATTGAGTGGCCTGACAGCTGCTGGACAGAATCCGCTCTTTAATCTGGATGTTTCTGCTGTTAGTGATCTCAGGCGTCTACATGAGAGCAGCAGCTGTTTTGTTCTAGGTGGGACGTGTCCACGATGAGCTTTTAGCATGTGTGGATTTCCAAGGGATCAGCTGAGGGGAAATCGATCAAAATAGAATGTGATCTTAATAATTAATTGTTTTAACCAAATGAAAGCATTCATATTCATTGGAAGATTAGCATTACTGGTCTGCCACATGTCACTGCAGTTCTGTTTGAGATATGACAGACTTGTGGAATTGTGTATGAATAGAATATTAGGGAATTAATATTTTAAATCAATTTAAAAAAAAAAAATTTTGTGGCTGCCTCTAAACATAAAAGTTTCCAGTTAGTTTAGGCTTTGCAGCCGTCCTTTTCTTCTGCATCAGATCACTTAGGAATCTGTAAATGACCTTCAGGTCAGTGTTTTTGCACAGATATGTGATTTTTTTTGTTGTTGTTTGACATCGTCTCACATTTAGGTGCGGGAGAAGGCTCATGAGGGCACCAGGCCGATGAGGGCCGTGTTTCTGGCTGATGGGAAAATCCTGACAACCGGCTTCAGTCGCATGAGCGAGAGACAGCTTGCCCTCTGGGACACGGTAAGAACATTTTGTAGAGGAAAATGGTTGGTCCTCTTTTGTTTGGTCAGCAGGAATTATCCTTTAGAGACTGAGGTGAAGCATTAATCTGTTAATAGAAACTTGATTGATCTTTCTACTAACCAATCCCAAAGTTTTGAACCATAGTGTATTTTATAAACAATACCACTTAGAACAGTCAAATGGATTTATTTTAATTTTTTTCCATTTAATTTTAACTTCCGTCAATGAAAACTTGAATATGAATTCCAGTTTGCTACCAATATTCAATTTAAATTCCACTTAGCAACCTCGCAGAACACCCTAGCAACCATCTGAGTAATCATGCCCTAGCATCCACTCTCAGCACTCAAGCTACTGTCTAGCAACCCCCCAGAATGCCTTAGCAACTGCTAATATCATAATAATGACCGAGTTCGTCCAGAACACCCTAGCAACAACCTTAGCAACCACTTGTAATGCCCGAAATACCACCACTTAGCAATTGCCAACCACTCAGAAAACTTTAGCAATGGCTTAGTAATGCAAGTGCAAGGCTCATGTAACCTTCAGACTTCAAATTACTATTCAAATTGCTAAAGTATTAAACTTCAGAAGGCCCAGGTAACCTTAAAATGTCAAGACTTTTTCAGCTTTCAGACAAAGTTCTGTCAAGTCAACATTCAAATGTGTCTTGACAAGCTTGCATTTTCTAGTTTTTATTTTGTGGAAGTGCAAACATATGCTCAGACTCCCTCAGTTTAGTAGCTTCAGGACACATGAGTAATCAGAGACTCACAAATGATCTTAGTTGACATAAAATTATCAATATAGAGAATCAGTCAATCAATATAGTTATTTTTAATATAGGTCTATCAGATGCAGGGCTTCAGATTTTGGTAGCCCGAAATGAATTTAACTAGCCCAAATAAAAAGTGTCCCTATGACCCTTTTTAAGACCTGCACAAATAAAATTAACAATGTATGAGCAGGGTAGGGCAATGTCTATGGTAACATCTTAAACTGTAAAATTACATGATTTACAGTTCACATACAGGTTTTCACAAAAATAAAAACTCTATTTATAAAATGATAAACATCACATTTCAGCCTTTAAACCAAAAGGGATCCCTTTAAGAAAAGGGATGAGTCAAACGTATACATTATTATATTTAAAACAAAAATGTATATATATTAGTGTCTTAATTGTTTAGATTTGTAGAAGGCACATTAGCTTCTTTCACATTTACAACTGCGTGTTTGCTGTGTAAAAATATGGGTCAATTTTCGCATTGTTCTGAACAAAAACAGCAGACGGACTTATTGAAAATGCAAATCACGAATCTGCATTGTAAAAAAAAAAGTTGCTCCCTTAAATTTTTAAGGTAATCAGTTTAGCTGTATAAGTCATTTCAACTTAAATTACATTAAACTGACTTAAAAACATGAGTTGAATCTAGTATAACTTATTTAAAAAAGTTGAAAATGTAAACTTTTCTGAAGACAGTCGTTTCATACATTCATATAAAAAAACACCCGCCACATTAAGCTATATCGCAATTGTCTTTCTGTCCCCAAATTTAAGACCTTTTGAAATTATAATTAAGACTTTTCTTATACCATGTAAAGTATTCAAGACTTTTATGGCCTTAAATTTGATACAACTAAATTGAAGAGTTTTTAAGTACCTGCGGGATCCCTGTATTCAAAATAGCCCGTCTGGAAAACACTATAGCCCCGGGACTGTCTGGTGCAGTTACTGAGCATGAAATAGTACTTTATGTTTTGATAACCTAGTCAGTATGTGACTACCTCTGTCATTCTTTGTATTTCAGAGAGATCTTTCTGAGCCAATGGTTACTCAGGAAATGGACACCAGTAACGGAGTTCTTCTTCCATTCTATGACCCAGACACCAACATGGTTTACTTGTGCGGCAAGGTAGGATTACCCAGCTTTACCCTATCACAGTGGTTCTCAATACCAGTCCTCGTACCACCCCTCTGCACATTTTCTATGTATCTCTTATCACTTCAGACATTTGTTCTATTCGACCATGAGTGCCGCTCTGGCTGTGGCGTAGCGCAAATCTGTGGATGAATGTTCCGAAGTGAAGTAAACTTCAACGGATTTCCTGTGCTCAGGGAGTAGAGAGCAGTGAACACTGTGTAGGGACCGTGTCAATCGGAACACAGTTCATGCATGAAGCTCTTTTCTAACGAGCTGGTTATCTGAATAAGGTTTGTTAAATAAGAGAGGCATGCAAAATGTGCAGAGCGGTGGTATGCGAGGACTGGAATTGAGAACCACTGCCCTATCACCTCTTAACTGCTGCACGACAGGTTTCTCCAGCAACAGAGATATGAACTTGCACTGAAACATGCTGTTTACAGAAAACCTGTCTGGCACAATCACTGACTACGTTTACATGGACATCAGTAATCTAATTGTTTACCTTATTCTAAATAAGCCAATATTATGATAATGGTGTTTACATGAGTTGCTTTTAGAATATTCCTTTCATGTTCCCGTTTTACATGTTATAGTACATAGTTCGATTAATGGCACACGTCATTACGTCCCACGTGACGCCATCCGACATCCCCTCCGTAATTTCACGTATAAACATATAGTTCGTCTTCGTGATGATGCCATGTACAGTTTTGGGTGTTTCATTTTTAATTTTATGAAAGCTTCAAGTGCAGTTAATTATTTGTACGTGCATACAGACGATGGCGGTGTTGAAGCTCTTTATTTGCCGTCAAACAGTTGACCACTGCCGTGTGTGTATCCTGTCGCAAAATGCGACGAAAAGTCCTACACGATGGTAATAATGTGATTAAGGTGTTTATGTGTCTATACTGCACTTCAGTAATGCGACTAAAATAGGAATACTCCACATGTATTAATTCGATTTCTGTTTACTTCGAATATGACTTTAGCCGGATTAAGGTAATCAAAAATCTCTGTTTACATGGTAGATTCTTAATCAGAGTATTGTCTTAATCGTATTAAAATCGGAGTATTGTTGTACATGTAAACGCACTCACTGCCTGCGTAGTTTTCCTTATTCACATACAGTAAACATAAATACACTACCATTTAAAAGTTTGGAGTCAGTAAGATTTTTGTTAAAAACTCACTGAGGCTTCGTTTATTTGATCAAAATACAGTAAAACTGTATTATTGTGAAATATTATTACAATGTGAAGTAACTTTTCTATTGTAATATATTTTAGTACACCCAAAAATGAAAATTAGCCCATAAATTACTCACCCTCAAGTCATCCTAAGTGTATATGACTTTCTTCTTTCAGACAAATCCAGTTGGAGTTATATTAAAAATGGTCTTTGATCTTTCAAGCTGTTTAATGGCACTTTGACACTTTTTTTCAACACTTTTTTTTATGGATGGGCGCTTTTTATTTAACTTCTTTTGGACTGATGCATGCAACACCCGCTGAGTGGCAAAGACAATTTTTAATATAACTCCGACTGGATTCGTCTGAAAGAAGAAAGTCATATACGCCTAGGATGACTTGAGGGTGAGTAATTTATGGGCTAATTTTCATTTTTGGGTGAACTAACCCTTTAAAATATAATTTATTCCTATAATGTTGAAGCTGAATTTTTAGCAACCATTATTCCAGTCTTCAGTGTCACATGATCATTCAGCATTTCTTATTATTCTAAATATTGAAAACAGTTGTGCTGCATAATATTTTTGTGGAAACTGTGATAAATTTTTCCAGGATTCTTTTATTAATAACAAAAGAACAGCATTTATTTGAAATTGACTTTTTTTTTTGTTACATTACTCACTTTTGATCAAATTTAATGCATCCTTAATGAATAACAATTTTAATTTCTTAAAAAAATAAAATAAAAATCTTACTGACCCCAAATTTTGATCTTTTTTGTATGAGATTTTGAATATGCAAGAATGAAGTGGTGGTAAATGGCACAGTGATGGTATTAGATTTAAATACCGTGGTACTTTGATATATACCAGGGTACTTGTTTCCTCATAGGCATGTGTAATAAAAGTATAACCGATAATTGATTAAATTCAATGTTGTCAATGAGCTCTAACACAACTGTCTCTCTCTCACAGGGGGATTGTACTATTCGTTACTTTGAGGTGACAGATGAGTCACCGTATGTTCATTTCCTGAGTCTGTACAGCAGTAAGGAGCCGCAGAGAGGTGCTGGTTTCCTAAGCAAACGAGGAGTAGATGTCAACAAGTGTGAAATAGCAAGGTGTGAACTGAACTAGTGTGTTACTTTAAGACAGTGTAATCATATTTGTCATTGCTTGATTTTGTGATTCTTTCCATTTAATCCCATTTTGGTGTGGATTTGATTGCATTTCATTTGCCTTAATGAATGCCCTGAAAACATGTGAGTGGCAACTCCATTTTCAGTCTTTTGCTTAGTGCAAAAGTTGTTTGTTCTGTTTGACAGGTTATTTGGCCAGAGTGCTTGACTAAGAAATATAAAACTGAGCAAATGGGAAGTTAAAGAATAGTTCACAAAAAAGGAAAATGAAAATATTTTCTCACCTGCATGTGATTCCATTCTTTCTTCCATGGAACACACCAAAAAAAAAAAATTGAAGAATATTCACTTTACAACATACATATAGTATATTACTACTTTAAAAGTTGATTTTTTTTGTGTTTTTAAATACAATTTTTAATTACATTTTTAATGTTTTTGAAAAAGGCTCACCAAGACTGCATTTTTATTAATCAAAGATACTGTAAAACATTCATTCTCTGACATATTATTACAATTTAAAATAACAGTTTTCTATTTTAATATATTTTAAAATATATTAAACTTTAAATTATAAATAATTTTCAGCAGCCATTACACCAGTCTTTAGTGTCACATGATCCTTCAAAAAGCATTCTAATATTTGCTGATTTGGTGCTAAAGAATATTTTATTATTCATAATTTAATATAATATTCATTATATATATTTTAAATAAAAATAGAAATAACATTTTAAATGTCTTTATTGTTACTTTTTCATAAATGAATGCATGCTTGCTGAATAAAAGTATCAATTTCTTTCCTAAAAGAGAAAAAATCTTACAAGACCCCACACTTTATGCGGAAATTCTCTTCCATACAACATAGGCATATATTAACAAGATGCTTTCAAGCTTCAAAAATGACAAAAAGAACTATAAAAGTAGTTTATACCACTCCTGCAATATAATTCCAAATGTTTTGAAGCTGTACAGTAGCTTTGTGTGAGAAACAAACTGAAGTAAGTGTTAGTCGCTAAAAATCTTTCGCTAATTTATTGAGATGCACCTGTATGATCAGACCCTTGCACTTAACATTTTATGAAAATCATGCTCAGTATGTGCATCGCATTACATTTTCATCAATGTACAGGTTATAAAGTTTATTGTAGCTATATGGAAGCTCAGATTTTCTTGTTGTTTAATACAGGGTTTCTGCGGGTCCTTAAAAAGTCTTAAATTGTACAAGAAAGTCTTAATTATGATTTCAGGAGGTCTTAAATTTTGGGACGGAAAGACCAGAATTGCGATATGGCTGAATGTGACGATTAAACTATTATTTCATTAAATAAACATGAGCTCTGCATGTTTCAAAGTCCGGTGCTGATTTGTGTTCTGCCGTTACCGGGGAAACTGCTATATTTCTGCTGTTCCAAAAGCACCTCCTGCTGGCAGAGAATGAATGTGCATTTTCAATGAGCCTGTTTTATTGGAGTAGGGTATTCCTGCAATAATGGAGGCTACAATTTTAGGACCGCATTTCTAGGACCCTATTGTTTGTTTTTTTATAATTTTTTTTTTTGTATGTAGCCTATGCGGTACAAATTAGTGAGTTTATTGGTACATAAATAAATGTTAAATAATTTGAATACTAGTTTACAACATCCAACAGCACAATGAACTGTTTTGCACAGCTTTTTAGTTTTTTTGTATTCGGTTATTGTTATTGTTTGTTATTTTTGTTATGTGTAGAATTGTTTTACTTTGATTATGCTTGTACAGCACTTTGGAAAACAATTGCTGTTTTAAAAAAGTGCTCTATAAATAAACTTTGATTTGATTTGATTTGAAAAAAAAGGGTCCTAGGAGAACTGCGGCCCTGAAACTGCAGCCTCTGGTATTGCAGGAACACAGTATTGGGGTTGTTTTTGTTCAGACCAATGTGAAAATCGACCCATGTTTTTACCCTGCAAACACGCAGAGCTGTAAATGTCAACTAGTGGATCGATAAGATAATGCATTATAAAAATCTAAACAGTAAAATGTATTTATATGTTATTTAATTAATATAATAATTTATTGATAATCATTGTTTAAATTAATATAATAATTAATACTTTTTGACTCATCCATTTTATTAAAAATGGTTTAAAGGCTGAAATGTGAAGTGTATCATTTTATAAAACTTTGTTTTTGTAAAAACTTGTATCTGAACTGTAAATCATGCTTTTTACAGTCATTTTACAGTTTAATGTGTTACTATAGACATTGCCCTACCCCGCTCATGGTATTAATTTTATTTGTGCAGGTCTTAAAAAGTCTTAAATTTGAGCTTAAAAATCCTGCAGAAACCCTGTAATACATTTGGCCAAAATCTCATGATATAAAAGATGGACCTCTATGCACAGGATATTTAAAACGTACAAAAGTAAACTGGCTACAACTAGAGGGCATTAGCCTTTATAGACATAGTGTTTTTGAGTAAAGAAAACGCTTTTACTTATTCAAACATCAGTTCTTTATTTACCCTTGCATTGCAAACAAGCAGAGATCCATATCCAGACTGTGAAACAATGATCTACAAGACCTTTGGTTCTGATAGAGGTGTTGAATTTCTGTTTTAAATGCTTTGCAAGATTAGGCTGAGACAGGACGTTCACTGAAAAATACCATACTGTAAATGCTCTCTTGCTTGGGTCTCCCCTTGTTGTAAGGCAGCTATCAGCCATATTGCCTCCAGTTTGTTCCAAAAATATGTTCAGATGGTGATGAAATGCTCATATTGACTCATGTTGACATATTGAGGAATGACATCATTTGTTTCAAAACAAAACACTGGACAGACCCAAATTTGCTGGCTGATATTTGAAAAATATTAAAGTAATACCATTTTCCCCATCAGATGCCCCATTACTTCAATTATTAAGTTATCCTGATACTTCAGAGTAGAAATCGCTTTTGAAAATGACTGAAAGTTGAACCTTGACAAAAACTGCACAATAAAAAAAGGGTAAAAAAATGTGTAGTATTTATTTTTGTCACTCATCATGGAAATGTACAGATGCTGTCACAAATTCATTGCCACAGAAAATGAATTTGCTCAGTTTGTAAAAATAAACAAACGTCATACTTCCCTCACTTAACACTCTTTAAAGGGATAATTCACTCAAAAATGTCAATTCTGTCATCATTTACTCATAAGAAAAAAAGTCTTACGGCTTTGGAATGACATGAGGATGAGAAAATTATGACAGATTTTCCATTTTTGGGTGAACTGAAAGAAAAACAGAAATAAAATGGGAAACTTACATGAATTTGCTGGAATTAGCATATTGCAGGTATTTTTTGTATTCTGGGTAATGCCGCACTGCTGTATTTTTGGAGCCTTTGTGAAAGAGGAAGTAAGAAAATCTTTTCAACTGCCCCTTAGTAAACTACTCACTGGCATATAGACCTCAGTCAGGGTTTTGACAAGTTTTGACAGGAATGAAATCGAGGCTGTGAGGGACAGAAGTACAGTGCGTTCAATAGATTGTATTGTTGTTTAACAACATAGCAATTGTTCAGCTGATGAAACATCTTTTGAAAAAAAAAAACTTTAAGCAGACAAAACTCTGTAAAACAGTTTTTAAAGGTTTGAGTTTTGAGAAAATGGCATGATCTAGGACTTTTATACAGTGCGTGCCATTCTGTCCCTCATAGCCTCGTTTTCATCTGTGTTAAATTCAATATGGTGTCTAAACTGGCCGAGGTGTATTTATCCAACTGCATCCTCTGTCTAAATGGATCTTTTTTTTTCCACCCACAATCAGTCTGACCTGTTTCAAGGGGATCTGTACCCGGATACGGCGGGATTAGAACCCGCTCTACTGGCAGAAGATTGGATAGCAGGACAGGACGCTCCTCCAATCCTTGTTTCCCTCAGCGGGGGCTACACGGCCCCTCCATCCAAATGCGGCACGCTCCGGGGTCGACCCAAACTGCTCTCTCAGACCAACACTAGTCCCACCAGCACTACTGCGCCACCAAACCCTATGGTAGTTGAGATGGAGAGCGAGGGGTTGGGCCACAGAGAAGGAAGAGGGGATGTAGATGGAGGGATAGAGAGAGTAAAGAAAGAGGTGAATGACAAGTT